AATGGCTTGGTGACCAGGCTCTCAGTATCATCAGATATGAGGTTCCTATTATGCTACCAAGTAAACCTCCTAAAAGATTTGAGTTGCTATCCAAAGGTAAGAGGAATCTTGAATGGCTAGTGGAGGATGGAGATGATGGGTATCAGTTGTGGCCAAAAGGCTCACTTCAGGGATAGAGGCTATAGTTTATCCCACTAAACTTTATTTTACACGCTTCCTCTGGGAAATGAGGCCCACCAGTGTCCTGACGGATCTGTTCCCAGGAATTTTATGAATCAACTGGACCCAAGTGGCACAACGGATGACATATACTGGAAGCAGTCCTGTACAACCCCGCACCTCAGCCCTTTAAGACTCAAGGAATTATGCTCCTAGCTGCTGGAAGTGTTGTTGGCAGACAGCTCTCAGATTCACATCTGCAGAGTTGTCTCTGCAAATTGCTCTCAGCTAAAGAGAGCTGCCTCATCTAAAGCTACACATCCTCCCACTGTGACCCAAAACCAATGACTGATTGAAACGGGCCCATGGAAAGTCCAATCATTTTGCTCCAGTTCAAGACTTTTGAAGTCTGTCCCAGATTTTGATGTTCCCATCAGATCAGCTGAAGCCTTTGCTGTGACTGCATTTAGCCCAACTTGTAACTAGCCCCACTTTCACGGCTTTCACCATAGGTAGGTGTTTATTCCAGGAGAGCGCTGCAACACAATTCCTGCAAGCTGATCTGTCTCCTAGTCTGACCTGTGACACCTATACACAGGAAACTGCAGAAACTTCGCTGAAGATACTAAAGAGTATTTAAATAAATGGAAACATATATTAATAAGTTGCAAGGATTAATATTGCTAAAGTGACAAATATCCCAAAGTGTCCTTTGGATTCAGTATAATCTCATTAAAAATTTTGGCAATTTTTTTTTGCAGAATTTCACAAGATGATACTAAATTGCATATGTAAATAAAAAGTATCTAGATGGTCTAAAATAATCTCAACAAAGATAGATTTAGAAGATTTACATTTCTTGACTTCAAGACTTAGTATAAGCTACATTAATGAAAACAATTTAGCTTGGTATAAGGATGAACAGATGAAACTAAAGAGATAGTTGAGAAATAGACTCAATATGTACACTCAGTTAATTGACTTTCAACACAAACTGTAAGTGCAAATTAATGGAGAATAAAAATCTCCCCACCAAATGATGCTAAAACAAGCAGACATTCATGCGGAAAAAGTGAACATTGACTTCTACACCACTATCTTATTTCATACAAAAGAATAATTTGAGATGGATCATAGATCTAAAAGAACACACCAAAATCATAAAGCTTATAGAAGAAATTATTGGAGAATTTCCTCAAGCCTTTTAAGTTTCTTAGGTAGAACACAAAATGCATTAATAACAAAGAGAACAAAAAGATAAATTGGGTTCCATTAATATTAAAACAGCTGCTCATATAAAACATCTGTTAAAAAAGTGAAAAGTCCTGGGAAAATATTCAGAACACTTGTATCTGGCAAAGGATTAAATCTAATATATACAAAAAACTCTTACAATTTAATAATAACAATAAAAGAACCAAAAAAAATTTAAGTGAGCATGACACATGAATCAACACCCCGCAAAAGAACCTAAGGAAGATACACAAAAGGCAAACAAGCATGTAAAAAAGTGCTGCGCATCATTAGTCAGCAAGGAAACACAAAATCAAACCACATTGAGATAGCACTTCACACAAACCAGAATGGTTACAGCTAAAATATTTGACAACCTGAAATACTGACTTTTGGAGCAACCAAAATTCTCATACTCTGCTGGTGGAAAACCATTTGGACATTTCTTATGGCATTAAACATATACCTATCCTTTCAATTAGCAATTCCATTCCTTGGCATTTACCCAAGCAAATGAAAACATGTGTCAAACAAAAGATTCCTAGAAGAATGTACATAGGAGCTTTATTCATAACAGCTCAAAGCTAGAGACAACACAGATGTTCATCAACAGTAAAGTGGATAAACAAATAGTACATTCATACAATGGAATACTACTCAGTAACATAACGAATGAACTGTTGATACACTCAAGAACTTGGATGATTCCAAGAAGTATGCCACTTATATGAATTTCTAGAACTTTCAAAACTAATGCATCATGACAGAAATCAGAAAAGAATTACCTCTGAGGGATTGATTGATTGAGAAGGGAGAAGGAAAAAAATTCTGAGGTGATGGAAACATTTTATCTTGATAGGGGAGTGGGTACCACAGGTGTATTTTTCATACACTCGTCACTCAAGATTAGCATATTCCACTGCGTAAAAATTATATCTCAAACTTTTTTTTTAAATAGGAAGTAAAATTATATGTCAAGAAACTACTAAAGAGCCACACACTGTAACATTTCTGGGAAGGTCAGAACAAAATTAAAACTTTAGTGATCATATAACTCAATTTTGTCTCCTCCTCTTTATAAAATGTTCCTTTTTCTCATCAGTCAGCAGACAAATGTTTGGTGAGCATTCAGTATAGAGGAAGCCCTGAAATCTCAAGTTTCTCATGTCTGATGTGTGATGGCAGATAGCTATCTAGTTAACTGAGTTACAAGCTTTATTTGAACTTAATGTGTTTCTTTTTCTTTACCATTTGGAAGAAAATTGGAAAAATTAATACAGAAGAAAAAAATCAACCGTGGTCAAATTTTTCAGTTAGTGATAAAGTGGTTAGAGAGATATCTTTTCATTTGGGAAATTCCTAGCCCTTATGAAAGAACTGAAGTCTTACACTCTTCACGTTGAATCCTTTCCAACTTTCAAAGAGTCTGATGGAAATGCAAAAACAAAACAAGATTCATTCAGAGTACAGTTTTACTTCACTGTATCACACTGAGCATGCTTCCTGGCAGTTTAAGTGTCATCGGAAGAGCTTGATAAATATGCAGATTTTGAGCCCTAATCTTAGAGATGCTATTTTAGCAAGACTCAGCAGCCAGGTTCTTAAAATAGTATTACAGAGAGCTACGGTTTAGAAATAAATATACAAAAACTCTGTGAAGAAAAGAGAAAGGTCTATATGAGAGATTGCTATAGACTGTTTATGTCCCCTTCCCAAATTTCACATAATGAAAATTAGCCCCCAGTGTGATGGTATTTGGAGGTGGAGTCCTTTGGGTGGGTTAGGCCATGAGGGTGGAGCTCTCATAAAGTAGATTTGTGTCCTTATAAAAAAGACCCCAGAGAGCCCTTGCCCCTTTCCACCCTGTGAGACCACAGACAGCCATCTATCAGCCAGAAGTGGGCCCTCACCAGAAAAAGAGTCTGCCCACCCCTTCATCTTGAATGTTCCAGCCTCTAGGTCTGTGGGAAATAAACTTCTGTTACTTAGAAGTCACCCATGCTATGGTATTCTGTTACAGAAGCCTGAATAGAATAAGACAGATCCTCACAGGCAAAATAGCATGGCTGTAGGAATGGTTTCTCTCTTCCAAGGATTTACACCTCCCTCTTGGCTCTTTTGTCTTGACTTCAGCCTCCATGGACACATAGTCGTCTCCTTGCTGCCAGACCCAGAAATGGACAAAAACCCCTTTCCCATCTTGCGCCATACTTAACAAAGAAAAGCTAAGAATGGAAAATAAAGAACTGAGAAGAAAGTAAAGGAAAATAAAGAAAACGCAAAATTAGAAAAGGCTTAGCCTAATAAGATACAGATTTCCGATCCAAACCTAGCTAAATTGAAGCCACAAGTTAACTGGTTGGTGATTTACCAACATTCAGGCCATGGTTTTACTTCCTCCAACACATTCTACTGATTAGAGGTTCGCTTGGATTTGGAAAAAAAAAAAAGCACCCCTTTTAAACTTACAAATTACTCCTTGGGGAGGTTAAATCTATCATAAAATTTAATCAGATATTCCTAAGCAGTTTTCTTTTGTTTTGTTTTTTTCCTAATACAAAGCTGAAATAATTGGAGAGGAGC